ATCGACCAGCATAACCAGGCTATACAGACAGTCCAGCGCGCGGATAAAGGCCACAAAGCAGGAGGTCGGAGTACGGGGCGGGTCGTCGATATCCATAGCATCGGGTTCGTCCGCGCCGGACCTCTTCCTCTTGGTTCCCTTCTTATCGAGGTCGCCATTGCGGTGTGGTGAATCGCCCAAAGTGTGACTAGATTCCGAGCCAGAGTGCAGTAGCTCGGCGGTCCCATCCCCTAATCCGGCCAGCACATCCTCCTCCAGGTCGGCGATAGCATCGTGGGCAATTCCGAGGAACTTCTGGTCCTTCAGGGTCGTGGCCAGTGTCTTGGGCGGGATTAAATCGATCAACTGTCGTAGTAAGAGGAAGGAGGCAGCATCGACACGATAGTTCTTTCCAGTCCGCAGCCTCTTCAACAACCATCGCAGGACCCATTCCGCTTTAGGGGCGGCGTTGTTCTGAAAGTGGGGGGTTCGGTTGATTTCAGGGTGACTGGCACATAGCGCGAGATCTAAGCCGATAATATTCGCAGCATCGTTGAGCTGTGCGGTGGGAGATGCGGTGCCTTTTTCGAGACGGAGCAGAGCTTCCTGCGACGAACGCGGGCGCTGTATGAAAAAAAAAAAAAGATGCGATGATTTAGCCGACTTATCTACCTATCAAGAAGAAGATATAAACAATTTCAGGCGCAAAAGAACGACCTACCTCCGCGACGGAAGGCATCTCGAAATGGAGATGTGAGACAGTCAAGTTACCTGGTCGTTGGAGGAGAGTTCAAATCAAGATCGCTTGTCTGACCAGGTCAGGACGAAGCAACCATCGTCCGTATGGAAGAGGAAGAGAAGGAGGAGGGGAGAGGGGGGTTTAATTTTTGGATTTGGTGTTCCCGAGATTAATTCTAATTATTATTCGAGAAAAAGTTGGACTGACGCCAGAGGGAAAAGGCGGCGAGCGGGCGGGCGGGCGCCCGGGCGGAATGCTTTGCTTTCAGCAGTTCCTTGCCAGTTGGCAAGCCAGCCAGCCAGCCCAGCCAGCCCAGCCAGCCCAGCCTAGTTTTTCCGACCGCCTTTCAATTCGGTAGCAGAGCTCGACATGATCCGCACCCGATCTGATCTCGTGTCTGTGTGTTATCCCCTCCTCTCCTCTCCAATCTTCTTCTCTCCTCCTTGAATTAGCTCTAATTCACTTTCAGGCATCCCCGCCTTTGTCTGTAATTAGGTCGGTGCCGACGGCTGGTGGTCCATATACTCATCCAGAAACATCACTAATTCCAATTGAAGCTTCTCGCAATGGCCGACTCCAACGAACCCCAGCCGGTTGTACCGGTCCCTCGCTCCACTAAGCCCGTCAGCGAGGCCCTGCTGAACGAGAAGGTACGCCGACTGATGAGCACTCGCTCAATCTCCTCTTTTTCTCTCCTGCTATTTGGTTCAATCGGTGTAAAGAGATCAATGATCCGGCGAGGCGTCTCTCCACCTTGACCGAACAGACCGTCAAACTCCGTTGACATCATCCGGAACACCCTCATACATCGATCTCTGCGAAACGATTCCTGAACACGCTAAGCTAACCTTGGGGATCTTCCTTCACACATTACAGTGGGACCGCGCCATCTCTTCCCTCATCATCCGTTCCTCCCTCGGTCTCTCCTTCGGTGTCGTCTTCTCCGTTCTGCTCTTCAAGCGGAGAGCCTGGCCCGCCTGGGTTGGTCTGGGCTTCGGTGCCGGCCGTGCTTGGGAGGAGGCTGACTGTATGTTTCTCATCGCTGGCTGAGCCCAATGGCACGCGCACTGACTGGTTGATTCTAGCTTCCTTCCGTCGGGGTGACTCCCCCATCAGAGATGCTCTGCGCCGGTAGAGCATACCCAACTCGGCATATGTTTCTGTATGATACCTGTATAGCTGGGAAGGAAATCAAGTCGGCGGTGAGGGCACACAGTGGTGGTGCGGTTTAGAAGGTTCTTCTAGACTTTTCTTTACTTTTAGCATGCAATTTATCGTTGGACCTGTTCGGCTTCTCGGTGCATCTACAGTAGTCAAGGACAAGACCTGGCCTGCTTCTCGCGCTTGAGTTGTGTGCTCATATCCAGGATGTGCGCAACTCAAGCACGCCCTGACCTAGTAATTGCGCCAGCTCCTCTATCTGTCTACCTGTACTCGAAAAGGTTTCAGTCCAGCTCTTGTGTGGCCCGGCTGTTGTGAGTGAGCACAGTCCACGGGAATAAGATTAAGCATGAGCAATTAATTTATGAGAGGAGTAACGTGTGTCATTGAAAGGCATCAAAAGACCGGGGAAGCATATACACAATTTTGTCATATACTCTATCACCGTGTGTACGGAGGGGTATCATGATCGATCGTCAGTCATTGGAGGACGTAAATGCCGATAATATCCCAAACCAGAGGCCCTGCATGGCAGACGGTCACGGAGGGCGTAGGATTCTGATCTTAGATCAGATTCAGACCAGAATGGAAATTTCAAAGCATGGAGTGTGAAGGTGCAAAAAGATTTTCGAATGTGGACAACTCGGATGTGCCAGACAGTGCTCCATCAGCCGCGGAGTTTGCGAGGTTGGTGTTGTCCCAAGGGTGGGTATCGGATGGCATGGGAGCGATTGCGAGACCGTTATGTCCACTGTGCGTGAGGCAGCCTTCGCAAGTGCAATCGTTCCCGCACTGGCAACTGCCGGTTATGTCTGAGCAGGCACTCGGAAGTCCTATTGGATACTCAAGGGTATAGTACTCTGAGGGTTCCATCAGGTGCTGATTCGGTATGTAATTTGTGGAAGGGGTTGTGTAGCCACCACTGAGACTGCCCGGTGTAGCAGACTGGTCGACGAAAGGATGCGTTCCCAGTGGTTGGACAAGATTATCAGATGGGTGACTGAAGTTGGCATATGAATAGTGCAGCGGAGAGAACACCGGCTGTTGACCCAACAAAGGAGAGTTCTGACGGCTACTTGGGCTTTCCAAGCCTTGTTCTCCATCGTTCAAAGCCACCAATAGTCCCATTTCTCGTACATGTTGCCTGGTAGTGTTGTTGAAGGGATGAGAAGCACAGCCCAAACATTGACAGTTGTCACCGCAATAGCATTCATGAGTGGCATCTTCCTCGTTCGCTGCCGCGGAGGAGAAATTGGAATTTCCCGTCGGGTCTGAGAATTGTGGCTGCTGCATCAACGCTTGAGATAGCTCGGCATCGTTGGAGGGCCCGTGAGGTGGCATTTCCAGCGAAGTTGGGGTGTAATGGGACAAATAGTCAGGAATGATTGATGGGAATAAATCGTGGCTCTGAGAAAGAGACGATGATGACAAGGTATGACCTTGCTTCGCTATTTGGGAGTCATACCAGTTGGAGACTTGGTGGTTGGAGAAGGAGGAAAACGGTGTTGCGTTCCCGCTGGAGCTTGATGATTGGGATCCAACCGACTTTGAGGTTTTGATCTCTTTAGAGCATTCACTCTGGGGGACAGCTTTAGGCTTTGCACAGCAAGAACGCTGGACTTCGGGTGCCGGCGGCGCAACTGGCTGAGGCGCACGAGTGCAACAACTCTTAGGTTCAGGTAATGTTTTGTCAGAACTGGAAGGATTCTTGGAGACATGGTTTCCTCCAGTGCCGTTTGACACATCCGGATTTTGGTTGGCTGCAAAGAACGACTTGTTGGATTCCATATCCTGGGGCTGGTACGAGATGGAGCGATTGGAGAAGTCACTCTCAGTGAGTTGATTCGCAAATACCGGAATGGAATTCAGCGCTTTGGTCAGGGTTTCTGGCGCAGTTTTGATCTGTCGTTTCCCCGACTTCTGTACTTTGCTAGGTGCATTTGATGGCACTGGCGTTGAGCCGACGGCCGGAGAGGAGACGGTCCCAGCTGCATCTGCGGGCACTTGGTACACTGGTCTGCACAAACAACCGGAACCTGCACCTGATCAGCAACCTTGGACGGGTCTTTCAAGACGCGGAGCGACAATCTAGAGCCTTGAGGCAGGCGGTTGGGGCCGAGCTTACCTTTGGGGATGCGAATCATGAAAGCATATGTTTTCTGACAGCTACACGTGCCCTTCGGATGAGGGCATCTGGCGAGAGGTCGACCAGCTTTTGGCACTTTCATCATCATTCTGTCAAAGTGTTGACATTTGGACGACCGATGGCCACGAATGCATGGCTCGCTAGCGATATAAGATCAATATTAGCGCAAGCGCGGAATCAACCCGGAGAAATGCAATGCCATACCACGACCATTTGGCGCCTTCTTCGTCGAGGGGCATCTTGAAGCTCAATCTTGCATCCGTCAGGCGTATATTGTGATAATGGCCGAGTTCCGCTGACGGCGCGTTCGCTCCCAAGGTAGACTCAGGGACGCAGTAGTTTTACCCCGCCCAGAGGGGTCCGATCGTGCCACGACTTCCAGTGTACTCTTCTCGCGAGGGCTCGGCGCAATCTCAAGAGGGTTAGAGCCACAGGTCTATCCTCAACGCAGCGGCCAAGAGCAGTATCGAGCAAAGTCAAGTTGATGGCGGTGACCGGTGTGATACTATCGATCCGGTGATTCGATTGATAAGTCGTCAATGATCCTCGAGGGAGTGCGAACTGGTCGGTTACTCAGGTAGCGACAGATTCCGGATATGGAGAGCTGGGAGACAATGAAGAGAACAAGCGATGTGTGATAAGCCCAGAGCCATCAAAAACCCGCTCGTCGCGTTCTGTTGTGCTGTCGTCATCGAACTACAGCCCCGCAGGCAAGAAGGAAGATTCAAAGGAGAGGAAGATGCGGGGGAGATGCAGACGGTGGGCGCGAATGTCAAAGCGAGCAATTCTCGATCGATAAGGATAAGCCGAGACGCCCGCCGCAGCCGCAGCCTCAGGCACCCACCCCTCCTTTGGCCTCGGTAGTAGTGCCTTGGCGCCTCAGGCGAGAATTGGCTTGGCACCGGAGTTTATTGTTTCGCAACTATTCCGAGGGCCATCGCGATGCCTTCCGTTGGATACGATTCTGACCCTCCATTCCTCGATCCGCCTGCCTTCAGGCGAAGAACACCTCGCTGACTAAAGCTGAAGCTGGCGCCAATTCACAATACACTTACATACTCATCAACATTGCCTATCCTCTTCTTCTCCGGTCATTGCTCCTCCAATGACTTCGGAACGCCGTGAAGCCCCCGGCCAGACGCCGGACGATGCCACTGCGGCGGCGCGCGCTCGAGATTTCTTCTCTGTCCCTGCACCAGTCAAGCGCATCTTCGACAAGTTTCCTCTTGTCACCTATCCTGCCAATGATCTTCCATACTGCTCTTGGTCCAATCGACAGGGAAATCGGTTGTTTGTTTTCACAGATACCGCCGGCGCTAGGCATGGGAGGCCGTCCTTCAACCCTCAATGCCTTAAGTGGCAGGTAATTGGATACACCAAACTCCCTCTCAATCTCGCATTGTCGCTCACGATGCTCGTCTGTGGTATTCTAGGCATACTTGAGATTCGCCGGCATTGAGTTCGACATCATCCCATCAAGCAATCATGCATCCCCCACCGGCGCCCTTCCTTTTCTTCTCCCCGCCCTGCCCGTCGGCAACAACGCCCCGATTCCTTCCAGCAAACTCCAAAAATGGGCCATTGAGCAAGTGCATTGTGAGGAGGAGCAACAGTTGAACACGCGCTTCGAAGTATACGCATCGTTGCTGGATCACCGGATACGAAATGCCTGGGTATGTGTTTTCGGCTGAGTAGTGACAAGCAGAGAAGAGAGAGGCCCCGCACGATTCCGTATGCTAACAGACGAACGTTGGTTCCAGCTGTATGCGCTGTACGTTGACAGTGAAAACTTCGACGCCGTTGCGCGACGCCTATATGTAGACGCGAGCACCACGAACCCCGCCGTACGGGCCGCTTTGGCGTTGCAGCTGCAGCAGGCTGCGCGAGCGGAGCTCTTGAAGTCGTCGACCTTTATCGATGCCGGCGCGCTCGAGGCGGAAGCGGGCGAGGCATTTGAGGCCCTGTCGGCACTCCTCGGGAACAGCGTGCACTTCTTCGACCGGCCCAATCCGGGGTTGTTCGACGCCAGCGTCTTCGCATACACGCACCTGATCCTGGACGAGAAGATGGGGTGGAAGCGCAACCGGCTGGGGCAGCTGCTGCGACGCCATGAGAACCTTGTACAACACCGCGACAGACTGTTGAAGTTCTTCTAGAGCTGTCCGACGAAAAGGAAGAAGAAACGATTTACCCCAAACCCACCCTCTGTACCATATTAGCCCCCTCTACTACCCGTTCACTCAGAAGCACGTTTACCTAGCTTACTAGACATAAAAATATAGAACCATGCTCCAGACAAGCCCTGCCCGATCTTCTCCAATGCCATCCTTATGATTGCCTGTAACCCATCGTGTTCTCTCTTGCCCTTTCTCCGCAATCATCCCATCCAACCAGCACTCAACCACCACATCCCGACCACTGCCCGCCGGCTTCTACATCCCCAACACATAAACCTTCCACTACCTAATCTCACCAACTCAGCCTCTCACTCCCCTCCCTTCTCATTATCGACATCCTTCAACTCAAACCACCTCACCACCCACATCGAGCGACCCATGACCCATTCCCCCTCAAAAAGCAAAAACTCCCATCAACCAACAGCACAAACCATAAGACCGAAGCACGAATCCTCCGTAGGAATCGGACAATGTGGTACCGTGCCTAAATTCCAGTAGGGTAGGGCTCCGATTGTCTCCAAAGGCTCGTGTACTTTTCCGCAAAGGAGAACAGGATAATACCCCCATCTAACAAGGTCCATCCTTCCCGCCACAAACCCAACAAGCGCAGGCTGTGTCGTGTAGACGTACGTGAGCAACGATCCGACCTGAAAGCACTGAAAGTGCCTCATGTGTACAGGACACTCCAACGGAAAAGGGGAGGATACTCAATGCAGTCAGCACCGCACAGTACCCCAAAATAAAATCAACCCCCCACAATCCATAAAACCTGAGGCCTCGAAGCCCTTTGGGTTAAGCTGTAGCTGTAGTCAGCGATGAATCAGCTTACCCCCTTGGCTCAGGCTTGCTTATCATCAACATCTCTGAGTTGGAACTTACTGCGGCAAACATGTTTTTGGGCGCCGGCCCTATACCTCCAGCTCGAATTTCGGGAATCAGGTTTTGCGCCGATTGGAAGCACCGTCTTGATATACCGGTTTGCTACCGGGACAGTCCTTGCTTGCGCAATATCTTCGAGCTGGGGTATTCTGGATTGATTGCTTGGATGGATTGGTCATTCGCGAGTTCTGGTTGGGCTAGAGGTTTGGTGCGCATATGGTTGTAGGTCCGATCCGCTACAGGATTTATGCCTTACACTGCAAGACAACTACAACTTGGAGTCTAGCTGGGCCGAGTAAGGATACTCAACAGTGGCGGTGTGTTTGTTGAATTGAAGATCTTCTGAACGCAACGCAACGCAACGCATTGCTCGTATACTCGCAGCCCAGCATCGACTACTCTACTCGGAAAGACCGGAGGGCAACTTTCAGCCACGTACATTCTCAAAGAAGAACACGGGGCCAGTCATGCGCCCGTCAGATCAAATTCACGCTAGACTGGATATGAGGTTCTCCACCAATACTGAATGTTTTGTTCATTCGGAGCTGGGACGCTGAGAGATCGAGCGCCGATCGCAAACATGGCACATGAAAAACATCATCGTAAGCACATGCTAAAGACCATAAACATAGGAGAGACATGACCAGGGAATAATGAATAAAGGAGGAAGTGTGTTCGAAAATCCAAAGACCGTGCCAGACGGGACAAAAGAGAATGGGAAAATGACATAAATGGCCCTGATAGCCAAGGAGGGAAGAAGATAGAAAAACAGGCCAAGTCGCGAAAGAAGACATGACCGTCGAAGGAAAACCCCAATAAGCCGATTAAGCAACAAACCCAGCCAGCCATAATACCGTAAAAATCCATGCAAGCTCCGCGCTGAAAACAGAACACAAGAACGCAGAAACCCATTGTCGCTCGAAAATGATGTTTAGTAGACGGTGGCGCCGAAGGGGGCGGTTTCTTTGAGATCCTCCACCAGATCCTCGACATTATTCAAATGTCTTCCTAGTAATGCTTGCTTCTCGTCGGTGGTGCGTGTATCCCGATGCGCTTTGCCGCCGCCGTACGCCCCCGGGACATTGACACTCCTGGACACTTGCGCTGCGCCAAGCTTGCTGGGGCTGCGCTGATGACCCATGACGGCCGTGTTGGGCGCAGAATGGCTTGTCGGAATCATCGGAGTTTCTGGCATCAGGTAGAAGTAGAGGAATTCCACAAGCTTTAGCTTGACTTCGCGCGAAGTGGCCCGCTGCTTGAATAGTGAGGTCACGGTGAGTAGTCCGTCGAGTTCCTCAAAGGTGCGTGTATTGGCTGGGTGATCCAGAAGAGCTGTGACCAAGGTGAGAAGCGTCGCTGATTGGATGGCTGGGCAATTGATGGGGTCGAGCAAGTCGAGGAGCAAATTCATGTAGATCTCGCGCGCAAATAATGTGCGTGAGGGCGGGTGGAGTAGAAGCACGCCTTGGATGAGGTCAAGGGTGGTAACAATAAGGGCGTCATTGGTACCGTTGCTGCCCCGCCCAAGTAGATGCTCGAGACATGTTACCAGGCGCATTGCGACTGTGGATAGAAAATCAGCATCCTGGATGTTGCGACATGCATGGAGGCAGGGAAGGTAGTGTAACTCACCATTCCATTGAAAGCCTTCCTGAAGCTTAAAGAATTCCCTGAAAGCCGGGTCATCTTTGAGTTCGGACAGGGACTTGGGCACGGGTTGCGGAGCTCCAAAGGACAGGAGGGACCGCCGCTTGTCCGACGCCGGTCGTTTCGACTTGGACAAACAGATCTGTGCGAGGAGCCCTTCCACCTGTCGCAGACCCTTCCGGACCTTGCTTGGCTCGTATGAAGAGAGATAGTCAAACGAATGCGCCAGCAATGCCTCCATGAGTGGTGTGAACAGGGAAGGGGAAAGGCGCAATAGAAACTCCAATAACTCTGTAGCACAGAGAGACGGGAGAAGGAAGGGGGGGGAGGAGACGAAATAAAATAGAGAAATGAATTCCCAAGAAGACAATGCGAGGAAACGGGAAATCGAAAAAATAAATGAAAAAACAAAGCGTTTGATCAACCGACGGGTCCGTGAAGAAGAATAGACCCTTGGGCCAAGACGATCGGGTACAATTTGAATGTGTAGCGTAGCGTTTAGTAGTGGAGTGTAGAGATGGTTGAAGGCTAAGAGGTACGATCTTTCTAAAAATTGCCTCAAAGCTGAAATAGAAAATCGGATGGATCGAGTCCAGACGCTTGGAGAATGGAGCCCTTAATTAGTTCCAGAAAGCATTGGTGACGATAAAAGAAAGACGGTGGTGGGCACGAACCGTCAGGGAAAACATGATTGTTGACGGGAGACGGTCAGTGATGCTTAGAGCCTTAGACTAAGTCACTTTAAGTCCATTCATTAGCCGCCAGCCTTAAGATTCCCCACATTTGACAACAACATCCCCATCGTTGTCCCGGAGACCACTTCCTCTCTACCAATGATCCGTCCAGCAGCGGTGCTTTTTCACACTTGCTCGCGGTGGTGGACTAGCGCCCAGTCTAGTGCGATAGATAGATGATGTCAAACTGGGGGGGCTGGGGTATTGCGATTCAGCTGAGCTACGCCATTGATGAAGCGCATCCTGCGGGCATGGGCCATGGGGCTCAATTGTGACGTCTCGGTCTTGCCGACATGGATCCATACTGTGTTGTGTAATTAAATCATTGACACACCGACAACAAGTTCCTCTTCCTCTCCTCAGCCGCTCTGCCAGGCACCACATCACTACATCACTGCACCAGCTGTTGACTGTTGCCCTCCTGAGCAAGTCATCCGGCGGAACCGGGCCATTTTCCGCCCTGTACCAGCCACTCGCTTTCGGATTCTTGGGTCGTGCAACATTAACAACATGATGCCGTGTTACTGTACGTGCTGGTGTCAACGCCGCACGAAGCAAACAACAGGCGACCGACAAGCACGCGGCAAGGTTGAGGCCCGTTCGGTCGGAGTTTCTCCCCAGCCAGAACGAGCCCGGCCACGTGACTCCTCCCGTCCTGTCCGATCCGGCATGTGACACTACGTCACGTTATCCCCCGCCGTAGACTTTTTGGTTCTTCACTCCGCCTATTGATTGCCCCCCCCCCTCTCTCTCTCTCTCTCTCTCCACGGGTATGCAACTGACTGCCGGATGCATGCAGCAAAAACTGACCCGTCTGACTGTTCGCGCATGGGGGCTAGGTTTTGGATCTCACATTTTACTTGACCCAACCTGGCTTTCTACAAACCTACAATCAACTGACTCCGAGTCAGTATGCAGGACTTTGACTCTCGTGTTCATTTTCGCTGTCATAGAACGTCGGGGTAAAAAATTCCACAAGATTTAAACAGAAAAAAAGGAGTGCTTCCTCCCCACTCCTCCGCTTACTCCCACTTCATCTCTTCAGCACCCCCCTAAAAGTAGTGGATACAGCAAAGCAACCCTTCGTCTTGAGACGCACGGGAAAAGATGCCTTCCGAGCCACTTTTCCAGCCACCTCCGACCACCCTCCTCCAACCCAGTTCGAGCTCGGTCACGAATGACGATGTTTGGGTTGGAGCGGGTCCACCCAGTATGCCCAGATCGGACTTGACAGCGATCCCTGAGCAGGACCGGGAACTTGGATCGACACCAGCAGCCGATGGTTTCTCGACGAATACCAATAATGGCACTCGCACGCATACTCGTAACCGGTCCAGTGTGGATGGCACCAAGTACAAGGACGGGCAATGGTCGCCGCAGAACGAGAAGATCGTGCTCGGTCCCTATGATTATATGCTTCAGCACCCGGGCAAGGACATTCGCCGACAGCTCATCAACGCCTTCAATGTATGGCTGAATGTTCCCCCGGAGAGTCTGACGATCATCACCAAGGTGGTGGCCATGCTGCACACTGCCTCTTTACTGTAAGCTTCCGCCTTTTTGTACCACTCTCCACGGAAAGCTCCCTCGGGGAAACTTAGATCAAAAATCATTCGCACAAAAAACAAAACTGATCTCTGGAAAATGAAAGGATTGACGATGTCGAAGACAACTCAGTCCTCCGTCGCGGGATCCCCGTGGCCCACAACATCTACGGCACCGCGCAGACGATCAACTCGGCCAACTACGTGTACTTCCTCGCGCTGCAGGAGGTGCAGAAACTGCACAACCCGGCCGCCATCGACATATATGTGCAGGAGCTGCTGAACCTGCACCGCGGCCAGGGCATGGACCTGTTCTGGCGGGAGACGCTAACCTGCCCGACCGAGGAGGAGTACCTGGAGATGGTCGGCAACAAGACGGGCGGGCTGTTCCGGCTGGCCGTGAAGCTGATGCAGGCCGAGAGCGGCGCCGGCAAGGACTGCGTGAGTTTGGTCAACGTCATGGGTCTGGTCTTTCAGATCTGCGACGATTACCTGAACCTGTCCAGCGGCACCTACACCAAGAACAAGGGCCTCTGCGAGGACCTCACGGAGGGCAAGTTCTCGTTCCCGATCATCCACAGCATCCGCGCCAGACCCGGGGACCACCAGCTGCTCAGCATCCTCAAGCAGAAGACCACCGACGAGGAGGTCAAGCGCTACGCGGTGACGTACATGGAGCAGACCGGCAGTTTTGCGCACACGCGGGACGTCGTCCGCGAACTGCGGGATAAGGCATTGGCGCTCATCACGGAGATCGATGGCAACGGGGCCTGCGACGATGGCGCGATGGTTCGTGCGATTCTCAACAAGATCACAGAATCCACGCTAGGGAAGCCTCAAGAGTAGCGGAACTCGCCAACTTTTTTTTGCATAGCAAAACCCGACATGCACTTCAGCCCGTCGAATTAGACGACGTACCTCTGACACATGTGGTGGTTCAAACAAGAGTGATAATGGAAGAAACATGCATGATCTTTCCTAAGTAGCAGTGCTGAATCAGAAATTGCACACGTGATAAACATTTCTTTACGAAGAGTGTCTTTGTCTGCTGCCTGCAAGAGTATGGAACAGGGTAGTTGTATGAAAGAAATCAGGGCGACTCCTTACCCCGCTCCCCCGACACAGGAGAATAACAAATATCCAACAACAATCCAAATCTCATCAACCAGTAACCGTCGTATTAGTCCAAGAACATTATTAAGGGACTGTATCTTATATTCCAAAAATCCGGCCAATGCCCACGTCGTATATCCCTGTCGCAAGCCAGCCAGCCCATCCCCTCACATAACCACACAGCAAGCCTTTTCCAGCTTGCGCAGAATTCTGGGGAGAACGGCGTTGACAACCTCTTCAAGCTCGTTCTGGTTACCCCCTTGCTGTTGCTGGTGCTGTTGCTGTTGTGGGTATTGCTGGTGCTGTTGCTGCGGATACTGGTGCGGTTGCTGTTGACCACCAGGGTACTGCTGCTGCTGGTGGTGGTGAGGTTGCTGATGATGCGCCGCGGGCGCCTGAGACATATCGGCCGGTCCGCCGGTCAGGTTGACGTAGATGCGGCCGGCGTTCTCCTCCGTCGCATACTGGAGCCCGAGCTCGCGACAGACCTGTTCGACACGGGGTTTGATCTTCTGCACGTGGTTGGCGGAATGGTTGCCCTTTCCGACGATGCTGGTAGTTTGAAGAACACCAAAAGATTTAGTTTGTGCTTTTTATTCCCTTGACGTCCGAAGGCATAGATAAAAACAGCACCCAAGTAACAATAACAGGGTTTGGGGCCCACACTCACACATGTAAATGCGTCTGCCCGTGGTTCTTCGCATAGCGGATCCGCTCCTCGAGGATCTCCTCGGCCTCCTCGACGAACTGTCCGTGGAGATCAATGGTGTCCGGCGCGACGCGGCCCTCGGCGTTGTTCTCGCGGAAGATGAACTCGGAGGCCTGCTTGTTGTACTCCTCCATCTTGCGCCCGTGGGCCTTGCCCTGCTCCGAGAGTTCTTTGGCCCGCGCGCCGTCGCCGCTGGTGTATGCTTCTTGGGACTGTAATTTCCGCGAAGGGTCAGTGTCCATTCGATTGATTGTATTCAAAGGGGGAATGGGTTGGCGTAGGAAGTTATGCAGGTGGGGAGCGGAGCGAGACAAGGTGAAAGTACCCGTTGAAAGCATGAGTTGCGCTTGGAGGCCTCCTGTCGCGCCAGGTCGCGGAGACGGTCATATTCGGCTTCCGTGTCTTGACTTTGTTCGTGGTTGAAGGCTGTACAGCGCGTTTTGCGGATAGGATATCAGTCTTGAGTGAGTCGCGCGCGAAAGAGATCGGGGTAGATAGTAGCGAGGGATTTCCCCGTAGGACCAGGAAGGACCCTTACCCCGAGGGCCCATATGAGACATCTCGTGCATCTTGCGAGAGGCTTCGGCTGTGAGCGACTTTTTATATCTGTGTGGATGCTGGATATGATGGGTCTAAGTCGGGTAATGAGCGACACGGGCTGTTCGGGAGAATGAATGTATTGACAGTTGTTGAGAATCGAATAAAGAATGGTGGATTTCCAGAGAGGCGAATGTCGCAGCGATCGGGCGGCATTGGCGCCAGTCGATGGCCGATCTGGGATCGGAACCCTACTTTACAAAGGGTTTTGGGGGTGTATGGCCTGAGGCTGCGGCCTTCCGGTGATGCGGCGGCACCGACTGGCCGCACCAGGTGCATCCCGATCAGCTTTCAAGTACAGTTCAAATGGCGTTGACTATGTATAGTAGAAGGGAAGAGGAAACGATGATATTTGCTTGGATATGGCAGAGAAGCGTGTCATTGCACGGCTCTTCAATGCTTTGCTAAGACGCACCACTACCATGGCAGTCCGGCTAATCCCCGGCATGGATGTGGTTAGGGCGAGCTTGTAGATATACGACGATACTACTCTGAGTAAGTAGGCGTCATTCGACATTACTGATAGGCCGATCGTAAGCATTGACAATGGGCAAACCAACATGGTCAATCCTAGCATTCAGCCCTGAGTACTGAGCCCACAATAGTGTAAGAGATAGGTACGGAGGGCTTCGGAGAATCCGACTTACCCTTTAAAGTAGATGCGCCAAGCGCAATGCGCCAGGCCAAGTGGAAACCGATTCAATAGTCTGGCCACCCTCCACGAGCTGAAGAGAACGGCCATGCCTAGACTAGAGCGGTACCCAAAGCACTGGGATCATTGCGAATTCGCATACTGAGACATACCTTTTACCTGAAGCTTGATTGATCGATTTTGATTGATTAATTCAAGACCCTGAATGAACTTGATGTTGCAAGGTAGATCACAGCGCGCAGTTTACGACGAGAGTATCCAATTCTTCTGGAACCCGGAGAACCCAGATCTATTATTGTACCACACACTGAATTGGAACGACGAAGGGAGGTGACTAGTCGTCTATTAGTCCTTCGTCGAACCATGGATGCCAGTGCCAGTAGGGTTCGGCGGCAGATTCATCTTGGCTCGGATTGCTGCTCCGCTTCTCCTTGGGAAAGCAGAAACCCGGATGGAACACGATGGTTTGACTGTCTCTTCTTAATCGTAGCAGGTTGAGTACAAGAGGCCCAAGTCTGGATAAAACCTTGAAGCCATTTCAAAACATGTATCTGACGGTTTATCAGGGAAGGAGAGCACCTCACTCACCCAAGCCTGTCTGGAATCAGCATCATGTCTTCTCGCCCATTTTCTCAACTCCTCGTGCGGAGAAGCGATCGACGGGGCAGTTGGGGAGTGGAGCTTACAGCATACGGTACCTCACTAAGAGAGACTAGTAATCGTCCCTCCGTATTCCATAAAGCGCCTTCAAGCACCACCATCAGCAACACTCTCACTCGAAGAATTCACCCAACATCCGTCAAAAAAGAATTGGGCATTCGCCAGCAACTATACGCATACTCGCACTGCATGATGTCATGCGTCAATGCACCAGGGGACGAAGAGCCAGGGGTGAATCACAACAATGAAACCGGCCAAACGCAACGGCTCTGGACTGTACCTGGCGATCGGGGCGCGCAAAGGGTGGTGCCAAAAATCTCCACCACTTTCTGGGTGGCGGCACCTTTTGAAACGCAGGTCTCCTTCGAGTAAGACTAAGCTACTGGGCTATTCTTACCCTCTCCTGCTCGTTGCTGCCATGTCCCATTTCAATTCCAATGTACTATCTGCAAAGAAATGGAGAGACCCCACACCCGCATATGCATCTGTATACAATGACTGCTTGCTGGAAGACGATAGGCGAGTAATTTCGACTGAAAGTTGTTGGTCATGAATATCCGAATTCGGAGACCAACACTCGTGGACAGTCGATCTGCGGTACCCGGAAATTAATCCATGCGAGTTGGTGACTATCTGATTGTTAATAATCAACAATGGCCGGGGCTTACCGTAGTCTCGTCACTTCTCATGAGTCGGCTGCTCTTCCTTGGTCGATGGGCGACTAGTAATCCGTACTGTACTCTGTTCGTATGCATGAGAGCTTAGTAGACTAGGTCTTAGACGCCCTTCAGCGGCAGCACCAGGAACACTTCCATGCAGTAGCTTGCCTTCCAGACTGAGCCACCACGGGTCCTGCACGTTTCGCTTACTCGACTGATAGCAGTACCGACACTTAGTGGATGAGAACTTCAATGAGATCACCCAAGATACTGCAGACATGGATTATGTATTATATAGTGTTAGCAAGCACTCTATGAAGCAGCATTGCGAGTCATGAGCTTATGACATGAGGTATTGAAAGTCATACTGTCCATATCTGGGTAACTTATACGGAGTAGACTACTACCTACTCGAGTAGTGATGGAAAGTGAAGAGCGGGCAAGCGGGCGGTGGTGGAAACCTCACGGCTAAGGCCATTCATCCTTCACAGCCGGAAAGAAAAAAAAAGGGGAGGGTGGGAGATAGGCAGTACCATTGGTCAGCCGAGGCCCCGCTCCACCGGATCCTCTTTCAACTCGACAACCAATGATTAAATGACTTCGAAACCGCCCATCGCCATTACCAGACCAAAACCTCCACTGCCCCCTTATTGATGCAATTTTGCTGATGGTTTGAACCTTCACGATGGGTCAATCGGTGTTCCTGAACTTCCTGGTGTTCCAGAAGGAGGAAAGGTTCTCTATCTTCATCGTCTCGGTCGGAGACGGACTCCAATGGAGCACGAGGTTCCTCAGTCTTCCCCTCTTTCTCCTTTCTCCTGCCCGCTTAATTCGAGGCTTGTAAGAAAGTATCCATCTTACCGACAGGCAAAGTTACAGACCTTTCCCTATTCTGGCCCCTCTTTTTTTTCCCTTTGCCCAATTTTCGCCTCTTTGCTCTGGCTCGCTCACGTTCCTCAGTCTCCCTCTCTCCCTCTCCCTCTCCTCTCCAGTGTCTCGGTCTCCATCCTCTCAGGCGCGCGCTCGCTCTCTCTCTCTCTCAACTTTCCCCCCCCCCCTTACCGGCTGAGCTTAATCTTTCTCGCTCCCGTCCTTCAGCCTCGCTCGCTTTCCTCCACCATTTTCCTTCTCTTCCTTCTGCATTCTCAACCCCCTCCTCCTTCCCCCTCCCCTCCGTTCGTCCAATTCTCACAAGTAGATTGGGGTAGGTTGATCACAAAGCAGCTACTTGTTGATACCCTCCATTATCTGCGTCTCTTTTCTTTCGATACAGCTCTTATTACCTTGGAAACTTCGCTCCTACACACACACACACACGTACCTTTGCAACAACCGACATAACTGGTGTACCAGTGTTCCACCCTCCTTTCGCCTCCTTTCCACCTAGCCTCAAAGCTTCGCGCTTATATCTGATTTTTCCCCTTACCGCCCGTTCCTTCGCATCCGCCTCGACCTTCGAGTAATACTATCTTCGACTTGATCTATTCATCTCTTTTCTTCTTGTGGGAATTTATCAGATCAAGTTCTCGAGCAGAGTAAGCCGTTCCCCTCGTTCTTCCCCGGCTACATGAGATGTCTGTCCGCAAGTCCTCCGTTGGATGCGTCAGCTGCACCTCCTTGCGTCAGCACGGTCGCTGGGCTGCGAAACTTCTACCCTGTTGGACCTTAACCTTCCGAACTTCTGCCTTGGCTTTTGACTTCGATGTTATCGGTGCACTGCTTGGCCTGCGCTTGACTGCCTCGTTCCCGTGTCCGACGACGTCCGCGCTGGACATCATCTCGTTCTGGCTAATACCGACGCGGAGAATTGCCTCTTGACTGACATTTGATCGTCGCTGACAGGGTCCCAACAATCAACACCTCCCTCAATCCTAGCCGTTCATTTACACCCTCCTACTGATTAATTACACCTTCATTGATCGCCGCCAAAATGGGTTGTGGAATGAGTACTGAAGACAAGGAGGGGAAGGCCCGCAACGAGGAAATTGAGAACCAGCTCAAGCGGGACAAGATGATGCAAAGAAACGAAATCAAGATGCTGTTGCTCGGTACGCGCCTCCTCGATCACTATCACTTTGGGGAATTTATTGGACGGAGAGTTAACAGTGCCCGTGAATAGGTGCCGGAGAGTCCGGAAAGTCGACCATTCTCAAACAGATGAAGTTGATCCACGAGGGCAGCTACTCCCGGGATGAGCGGGAGTCGTTCAAGGAAATCATCTACAGCAACACCGTTCAGTCGATGCGTGTCATTCTGGAGGCCATGGAATCCCTCGAGCTTCCTCTGGAGGATGCTCGCAACGAGTACCACGTGCAGACCGTCTTCATGCAGCCTGCTCAAATCGAGGGTGACAACTTGCCTCCGGAGGTTGGCAACGCCATTGGCGCTCTGTGGCGCGACACTGGTGTGCAGGAGTGCTTCAAGAGATCCCGCGAGTACCAATTGAACGACTCCGCCAAATAGTGAGTCTCACCACGGTCGCTTCTGATGCCCTCAACTGTTGCTGACCTTCGTCAACAGCTACTTCGATGCCATCGATCGCATCGCCCAGCCCGACTATCTCCCCACCGATCAGGATGTCCTCCGCTCTCGTGTCAAGACTACCGGTATCACCGAGACGACATTCATTATTGGCGATCTCACCTACCGCATGTTCGACGTTGGTGGTCAGCGCTCCGAACGTAAGAAGTGGATCCACTGCTTCGAGAATGTTACGACAATCCTTTTCCTGGTTGCCATCTCCGAGTACGACCAGCTGCTGTTCGAGGATGAGACCGTCAACCGTATGCAAGAAGCGCTCACTTTGTTCGACTCGATCTGCAACTCGCGGTGGTTCGTCAAGACCTCTATCATTCTTTTCCTCAACAAGATCGATCGTTTCAAGGAGAAGCTGCCCGTCAGCCCCATGAAGAACTACTTCCCCGACTACGAGGGAGGCGCAGACTACGCCGCCGCATGCGACTACATTCTCAACCGCTTCGTTTCTCTCAACCAGGCCGAGCAGAAGCAAATCTACACCCACTTCACGTGTGCCACGGATACCACTCAGATTCGCTTCGTCATGGCTGCAGTAAATGGTAAGCCCCAATCATATCTGAAGAATCAACGTAGGGCCAGACGCTGACTGTTTTCCAGACATCATAATCCAAGAAAACCTGAGACTGTGTGGTCTAATCTAATGACCGGTTTATCTTGATCGAGCAGAGTGGACTCGCATCTAGACCGTATGCTACGTGACTTGTAATTCTGTGCTTTTTTGCTCTTTGTCATACCATGTTGCAGTTTTTTACCCATCCCGAAAGATTCCGGCGTTGAGACATTCACTTGTCCATTACTACTAATTTCTGTTTCTATTTTCCTTTGTCCTGAAATGATATCTAGCCGGCTCTTTGTTATCAGCATCACCGATATCCATCCCATGACACAGAGCAGGAGTTGTTCCTCTATCTATTCCCTCCCGCTTTTCACTTTTCACTGTGAAGCAGCAGGATTCCTGTGGATTGTATCGATTCTACAAAGTTGTTAGAATTCTGTGTCTTATGTCCATGTTTGAACTTCTCTCTACATTTTATTCCCTTGTTTTTGATCGATCCATAGGATTCCCACGTTTTCTATTTCTGGTTCGCTCCTATCTATCTCACTGCTGTCACCCTGGACTCTCATTCCGTTTCATAATTTCATGTGTCTTGATCTGAAGCTGGATATTCCATCACGTCTTGGTGCAACTGGTCCACCTCGTTGTGTGTAAACATAGATCACGCTGTGCATCTGGTCTCGGGAAACCAATGTCTTCAGGGCTGGTAGTATGTATGAGAGAATGAGCGATGGTATTGCGGGCTACCGATGTCGGTTTGTTCTTTTGTTTTGCCGGTGCCGTCTGCACTTAGGAACTAGGGCTGTGAGAATTCCAGGGCTCTGTTGGTGCGCTAGGTGTAGTGTAGGACACCTTACGAATACATGCGAGTTGAATCAGTCAGGATGTACATGTGCACGTATTGTATTAGTTACTCTATCAACGTTCGGCACTTTCACTGAGCAAGTTATGCTAGATAAGAACATCGGAGCAAGCAAGATCCTTTTTTCTTTTCCAGAACTAGAGGCACAGATCTAATTAGGAGGGGGGCCCGGGGGGGGAGGGGGGGGGAACAGTAAGCACAACTACCATATACCAGCCAATGCATACAAAACAATCCACGTAGAAGGAAAATCCCCTAGAACCTCAACTTCGGCCCCACATACACAATCAGAATCGCCACGATCCACAGCCCGAAGATCCACGCGTACAGCATCATGCGCCCCCACCAGCCTTTCCCCTCGGACATGCGGCGCAGGGCGCCCATGCGCCGCTCGGCGGACTCCATGCTGGTCGTCGTGCGGTCGAGCCCGTCGACCGCGCGCGCCAGCACGGATTTCTCGGCGTCCAGGGAGGCGTGGAAGGCCTGCGAGGAGGATTTGAGCTGCGAGGCGAGCGAGAGGAGCGAGGTCGTTAGGTCTTCTTGTTCTGCGCGGGAGGAGATGAGGGTTTCTTCTGTTGTTGTTGCTGTTGTTGTTACTGGTGGGTTGGGGTTTGGTGGTGATGATGAGGATGGGTGGGAGGGGTGGGATTCGGGGTGGAGTGAGGTGCCGGTTGCTGTTAGGGTTGAGGTTGAGGGAGATTGAGGAGTGGTGGCGGTGGTGCGGATGCGGAGGGTTGATGAGGGGTGGGGTTGGGTTGTTGTTGCTGTTGGTGGTGCTGGTGCTGGTGCTGGTGTGGTCGTTGTCGTTGTCGGTAATGGGGATTCTGTCTCAGTGGTGGTTGGTGTGGAGAGCGCGGAGGATTGAGTTGGTGGTGGTTGTTGCTGGTCTCCGACGGTGTCGTTGTCCCGGTCCTCGTCGACTACTTCGTCGGTGGTGCTGCCTTCTTCGGGAGTCCCAAGCAGATCCTCCCCGTCGGGAGGTTCGGAATCCGAGTCCGAGTCTTCTTCGATTTCTTCGTTGGGAGTGCCAGATGCGGGGGTGCCAGTGCTAAACCCCGCGACGGCTTGTCGTTGCTGCTTCCTCCCCCGGCTTGTCTCCGCTTCGGCGGTGATTTGGTCGAGAAAGTCCTGGAGGCGGCCGAGGACGAGGCGTTGCTGCGCGAGATTGGTTTGGAGCGTCTGTCGGTGTTCGAGAGGCTTGATCTGGGGGAGGGTGCGTTCGAGGTTCTGGAGGGTAGTGCGGGCGTATTCTATGTTCTGGGGAGTGGGGTTGCTCAGGTCAGTGATGATGTTCGGCCGTGGAGAACAGCGGAGATGGGGGGACTGTGACGTGGATGCGGACTTGAGTCGTTGCGCATTTGGTCGACCTCAGAGGTCCCAAACAGTGTAGAGAGAATGGGAAGATGCTCTGGTCTGGTGGGTAAACCCAGGAAGATGCACATACCGCTCCTACTCTCTTGCGCTGGTAGTCTGATTGTCGGAGTGGCCTCAAGTCCGCCGCGGAAGAGAGGAGATTGTATTCTAAGCGTGCCAACAGGCGCGACAGATTCAGGGCTGCGAGCTCGGACGAGTCCCGGGAGGTATCGTAGGTCGTGAGTGTCATCTTTGCCAGTTCCTCGCGCTTTTCTAATCCGATGACTATGCTGGAATTTGGAGATCAGTGAGTGAGCGAGCTTGGATGCCCGACGGATCCTCCATCTCGCGGTTCGGCGGAGAGCTCGGATGACTCAGCAAGGGGAGAGTCACTCTATACTGCCATGTGAGCCACACTAGTCCATTTCGGGATATGTAGTATAAGGAACCTGGAAGGACATTGGATGGCAGGAAGATGGAACAACGTGCCACAAGTGCTTCTACTGTAGGAGCAGCTGGATTGTACCGATGTTATCTTGTTATGTCCTTCTCTGCTACTGACCTGGACGCACTCGATTCATCTCTGATTAACACTTCCGATTATCATTCAGTCATTAATCATCATCAACCACAAACTAAAAACTCCTTTGAACAAATCAAGAACTAAACAGGCCACCCAATGTTCGAGGTTGTGCTTCTGGTATGCGCCTGAAACTGGTCCCTGCTGAGAACAGTATCCATCTCGAAATGAAGAAATAATCGAAGCATTACGAAGCAGAGGGAGGAGACCCCTCAGAAGCAAATTCAGACAAGTTCAAGCGACTCAAACCACACACATCGAGAAATCAACTGTACTCCACCACCACCCGTTTCCAAGTCCGCACTCCCTCCTCGTCTGTATCGCGCATGTATTGGACTGCGTACTCGGATTTCCGCGTCGGTTGAGGCCCGCTCGACTCCGCAACATTGAGCGGCGGTTCCTGGCTGTGGCTTTCGGTACGCCACCCAACCGGGGATGAACCCGTCCGTGGTGGAGCGTTCGGGGCCATGCTGCCACCATTTAACCGCCCCGAAGATAAGCCATCGAGATCATTTTGACAGGTAGAGGAATGGAAAATTCCGTTCATGTCGGCGTTCCCGGGGACTGGTCGAGCAAGCTCTTCCCCTGAGCACGAGTGTTGCGTCCACGAGCTCCGCTCTCGAGTTAAGACCGCCGCCAGATAACCACTCGATGGCAATTGAGACAAGTGCGACAAGGGCTGCAGAACGTCGCAAGCTGAAGGGAATGAGCTAGCGTGGTGGGAGATTGGATCTTGCAGGTAGGCTACGCCGTAGCCTTGGCCCACTGGACTGGCTGGTCCTTCGCCACCTCCCTTCTCTAGCGAAGAGGATAGCGGATCCATTTGCCTCTCTGCTGATGCGTACCTGAGCCGTCGACGCCGTATACGCTGAAGAAGGACTAGGACGCAAACTATGCAAGCAACGGAATAGATGATTCCGAGCGACGCTATCTGGATATTCTTCGGAATCGCCGTCTTGACAATCGTGCACCTCATTGCAAGGAGGCTTTAGGGTTTATAGTTCCCAGTGGCGGCCAATAGGATCCCAGCTGCTCGTTGAGCTGTGGGCAAACCCAACTGCACACCCAGTAAGTATTTGGACCCAACTATGCCCGGGAAAGCTCTGTAGCACAAAGAATGGGTGAAGTACTGTACCACGTTGGTTTCTTTAGTCGAAGTAATTGCTTCTGTACAATTCTGATGGGCCGCTGCAGGGAGACAAATAAGGACAGGCTAAAGCAAGAGCGTCGCATCCGGATGCACCAGAAGAGAAGGTAAACGATCAAAAGTGCGATATGCTTGGATTTAATTTGATTCTCGCAGATATCGGGCGGTCTTTATAATTGAGACCAGACCATGGCGCAACCAATATAGACGGTAACAAAAGCAATAACATCCGGCCTTAGGGCAACCCATGCATGGCACGAAACACGCCTCTTTTAATTATATGTCCACGGAGATATGCGGACCCCACTGCAGAGAGACTAGAGACATATCTGATGGGAATGACAGTCTACTTCACTAACGCGCACTATTCGAGTGGGCTATGACACAGGTGGGAGGTAGCCCCTCCCAGTCCAGCTGTGCCATCATCAGCCACGAGAGCTTACGAACCGATCGCAACCGACGAGAATGACCTCCAACTATAGATGCATCCCGATCATAGGACCAAGGGAGCTCGAGAGGTCGGAATGAAGGTCCTGAAGCAAGGCAGGTTCAGCTGCCCAGCGGAAGCGCCACCACTCTGTGCCATCGGCTAGGAGACCCGCTAATTCTTAAAGGGAGAAAGCGGCCCAGTCAGAACGCCATAAGGCTACCTGGAGTCCTGGACCGTGTGAGCCTCGATCCCCTAGCAGAGTCTCGGGGGCGGGGAATTTGAGCCAAGCGAACGAGACCCAACACGATGGTTGACACTGTGCGCTGCCCCTGTCAATGGCGCCGCGAAGGACCCGGCAAAGTTACGACCAGTCGTCTACTTTGAATCCATGAAGCCCTGTCTCGTGATCTATTTATCGCTTCTTTGCTCGCCTTTCCTGCCTTTGCATGGCTTGGCCATCTAAGGGTCCTTTCATTATCTTGTGTTGCCGTGCATCTCAGCTGCGCCTTGACTACCGATCGACTGTTGGCGCAGATCCAGTTCTAGGCTAGGTCTTAGGCTATATGCGATTAAGGGTGTATGGAACCCGGTGGAGGTCGAGACTCTTTGCACTATGGACTAGTCGTCAGCTCGCCATTTCCCCATCCACGAGGGATTGGCCCGACCATTGATTAATTAAAAATTATCCCAATTAATCAATGTGGATAGACGACCCCTCCTTCGTGCATGCCACCGACAATTGTGCCTGTGGTGGTGAGTGTGAGGCTCCCGCGCCGCCGCAATGTGGCGGTGAATGGGGGTCGATCACTCCGAGCACTGGTCAGCCTGCTTCTGCAGGCACATCTTCCATGCCAGATCTAGATGATGTCTACTAGTTCCTGGTTCCTGCTGTCGGGTACAAGCTCACCAGTTACAGCCAATGGCAGCGGCACTCATTCAGATGCATCTCGTCGATCGATCGGCTGTTCCTTTCTACTGGGTCACCTTGACTGGTGCTCGCTTTATCGATTTTTTCTTGTTACTTGGACCACAATACCTTTGATCACTCGTACGATTCATTGCTTGCCTCCCAAACCGATTTCATACCAGCTTGCATTTTTGCCGCTCGTGAGCAAGCCTAAATTTAGCTGTCTACTACAGCGCAAAGTCATTGGGTCAAGAGGGAGTGATTACGTTACTGTATAGCCACAAGAAGGCGTTCCATACCGCTGGACAGATGAGACGAAAGTATTGTTGGGATTCTTTGGATCCTCCAATGGCTTCTCTGGCTAACTACTGGGTATGGAAAATCAGGCTTTCTACTGTGCTTGTAGAGAAAGCAAGAGCAGGACAAATACCAGGACAAGGAAGAGAGAGATCTACAGTCTTGCAGTCGGCTGCATCTCCCCATCAGCACGCTCACGAAGCATCTTTCGCAGAATTTTCCCTGATGGATTCTTGGGGATCGCATCGATGAATACCACTCCTCCGGTGATCCTTTTGAACGGCGAGACCTTGTCGTTCATGAATGACAAGATGTCTTTGTCGGTGGCGTTCTGTCCGGAGTTCAACACAATATACGCTCGAGGGCGCTCGTCGTCATTCCTATATGCCAGGAGTTGTGTAAGCGACTCCGTCTCTTGATCTTGCTGTCAAAAAATCGCCTCTCAACCAGATTACTCACATTGGCACGCCAATAACGGCAGCATCGGCCACTGCAGGATGGTCCAACAATATCGCCTCTAGCTCAGCTGGCGCGACTTGGTTCCCCTTGACTTTGATCAGTTCCTAATGCAGAAGTGGCCGTTAGCATCGCAAATAGAGAGAGAGAGAGAGGCAACAAGGCATGCAGGACCGGCGTGTCCGTTCGTGATCCGCCGCAGGTGGCGAGCAGGAAGACCGTCTGTCTCACTAGATTACCTTTTTCCGGTCCACCACATAGAACAGGCCTCGATCATCCACGAAGGCAATATCGCCTGTCTTCAACCACCCATCCTCTGTCTTGGTTTCTTTAGTGGCTCTTGGATTCCTCCAGTAGCCCTTCATGATATTCTGCCCACGAACCCACAGCTCACCCCGCTGATTCGGTCCCAGCTCCGTTCGGTCATCGTCGGCCATGATCTTGGCTTCACAGTTCGCATTCAGCTCACCCACCGATGCAGGGTGCGTCTTCGTCGTGGGATCCCAGCCCAACAGTGAGCATGTAGTCCTAACGGCGAGCCCGACCAGGATGTCCATTAGCCGGTGGTTGTTCGCCACTCGTCTTCTCTCCACATCCAGCCCAGCAAGAATAGAACTTACTCGGTCATTCCCCAACCCTGGCGGACCGTGATCCGACCCGGCTCCCAGAGCTTTTCAACCTGCTCACAGACCTCCGCGCCCAAGGGCGCCGCACCACTGGCGACCCCCTCCACGCTACTCAGATCATACCTGCCGCTGCGGACGGCGGGGTGCTTCGCCAACGCCACCACCACCGGGGGCACGAGGATGAGGTCCGTGATCCGGAACTTCTCGGTGTACTCGAGCATCTTCAGCATATCAAACTTGGGCATGATGTACACGGGCACCCCGCGGCGCAGCGCCGCGGCGATGAAGATATTCTGCGCCATGGCATGGTACATGGGGAGGAAGCAGAGCCAGCGCGCGCGCGCCAGCCGCTCCACCCAGTCGGGATACAGGTAAAAGAGGAAGTTGTACTGCAGCAGATTGGCGACGTAGTTCTTGTGCGTGATCTCGACCCCCTTGGGCCGGCCGGTCGTCCCGCTCGAGTAATTCAGCGCCAGCGTCTGCGCATCCGCCGCCCCGGGGGTCATCAGATCGTCCCACGCCCACCGACTCCCTTCCTCGACGGACGCGATTAACTCGCCCCAGTAGCGACAACCTTGCCGTCCGTCCAGCTTGCTCTTGCTCTGCAGGTTCTCGCCATCGGCTTCCTCAAAAACCGCACTATCGAACACAAACACCCGATCCAGCCCCAACCCTGCTCCCCTGGCCGCTTCCACCCCGGTCTCCAGACTCGCCCGCGCACAGATCAAAAACGTGGCGCCCGAATCCCGCAGCTGGTACTCCAGCTCCCGCGCCACGAAGGTGGGGTTCGCGCCGGTGAAGATCCCGCCCGCCATGATGATCCCCATGAACACGACGGGGAAGAACAGGTCATTGCCCGCGAACAGGAGGACGCGGTCCCCGCGCTGCAGCCCGGCCGCCCGCAGCCCCGCGGCGAGCCGCTGGCTCCAGAGGCGGAACGAGTGCTCCGTGAAGTAGTGGGTGTCAGGGCGGGCGGCGTCGAGGAAGCATCGGTGGGTGTGGGAGAGCGGGTGGGTCGGGGAGGTGAAGAGGAGGGTTGCGAGGTGGCAGCTGGGGATGTCGATGCACCAGCGCGATTGGAATGGCATTTTGGGGGGTTATTTCGGTGGGGGGATTATAAAAGGGTGGTGGTGGGCCAGGAGGCGAGCGAGAAAGAGGCGAGCAGGAGTTATTGCATCCCACTAGCTGGCAGGCATACACTCGATAGGATCAGATGCTTGCTGAGGTCTGGGGGGGGGGGGGTATCAATGTCTATATGAAAAAGATGGTATAGGAACCCGTACGTAGTCAAGACCAATGATAATGATAAAAAGTATTCGTAATTCACAGCACATATAACTGTACAGTCCTTGCAAACAAGAAAACCCTCACACCCACCAAAAAGAAGAAGAGAAGAGGGATCCCAAGGAAAGATATAAATACGTCAGTCAATGCCCATCATCAACCAAGTTTTACTCCGTCAATCAGCCAGTCCATCAAACAATCAATCCGTCCGTCCAAATGTCCACGCAGACAAGAGAGGGGGAAGCACAGGCCCAACACCGCGGGCGGCTGCCAGCGATCCATCGTACGTGCGTGCGTGCATGCATGCCATGCATAATCCGCTGTCCTTTTCTTCTCCTCCCTGAACGCAGTAGGTGGTCTGTTTTGTTTACTCTATGCTGCTAATGCTCAGCTATACGAACACAACCCGATAGCGGGGGTGTTCTTATGCAGCGGTGAGTATGTATAAGATAGATCACTGTACAGTACCAGAAAACAACCCTGGCAGGGGTTTTCCCGGCCTCTATCCATTCGACACGCAATCCCTCTCTCCCCCCCCCCCTCGTAAACCCGTCACACCGGGATTCACCCAGGTTTGACTTCCAGGATGATTGGGATTGAGTGATTGGGTAATAGGGTAAAATCCCGGGGGAAGGAAAGAGGCAGTTGCTGCGGATGGGATGATTGGATCGATGGG